TGGTTTCCGTGGCAACGTCATGGCAACACGTGACCATGGTTTCCGTGGCAACGTCATGGCAACACGTGACCATGGTTTCCGTGGCAACGTCATGGCAACACGTGACCATGGTTTCCGTGGCAACGTCATGGCAACACGTGACCATGGTTTCCGTGGCAACGTCATGGCAACACGTGACCATGGTTTCCGTGGCAACGCACACAAAACACGCATCTTTCCCGGCCGCTGCGAAAAAAAGTTTGGTGACCCCTGACGTGGAGCAAAGAGAGAGAGAGAGACAGAGAGAGACAGAGAGAAAGTCTTCATCATCTCGGCGTGCTCCTGGGGACCGGTTAGAGAGAAAGGAAAAAAAAACACCGCAGGGAAATTTGCGATGTCCTGGAAGAGAGGGCGAGGAGACGCTACTGGAGTCCTTGGGGGGCGAGCGCCTAGGCAAGTCTCTCGCGTTCCGAGGGAAACTCCCCCCCAAACCCCGCCAACCCCCTGGCGGCGAACCGGTCGATCGCATCACACCTTGTGGCACTGCTTGTTTTCGCCCGCTCTTACCCGCGCGCAACCACGGCAAAGGCCTCGGAGACTGACGGCCGCCGCCCAACTTCTGGCCGCGGAGGGAGCACCGCGCGGGTACTTGGCCTGGCCGCTGCGGTGTTTCGGCGGAGGGCACGGGGGTCCGGTGTGCGTTGCGGGAGCCGGCTCTCTCTCTCTACGTTTCGTCTGCCAGGGCCGTATGGAGGTTTCCTTCTACACGGCCCCATCGCCCGTGTGGTGTCCCACGGCATCTTTTTATTTATTTTTTCCTGGATAACCTCGGAGGGCCTTCGGTGCAGCAAGTAGCTCTTCATCGTGGACGCTGCGGGCATTCCACTCGCACAGATCCACCCCCAACCTCCAACAGGAGTGTCCTACGTGCACGGGGTTCCCCTCGTCGCCGCCGGAATTCGCTCGCGAGCACCCCCTCTCACCCCCTCTCTCTCTCTCTCGCGGGTACCTGCCACGGGCAAGAAGACGCGCGGTGGACGGGCGATCCGGCGAGACCACAGGCACGAGAGGAGAGGGGGGGGGCGGCGGCGGTTTCTCTCCCCTGACGAGATGGCTGCGGCGACCGAGACGTGGAACGTGTATCTTTCAAGCGCAGTTTAACGAACAAAAACTGTGGCGATGCCACTTTCTGCGGAGGGGGCACGACGCAGCCAATGCTCAACTTCACGTGGACGTGACACACCCCAGACAGCACGCGGGACGGGGCGCGGTGCTTTTGCCCGTCGAGAATTCCGCGCCGAGCCTCGTTCCCCGTGTGAGCAGCAGCAGCGGCAGCAGCAGCGGCAGTAGTAGTAGCAGCAGCAGCAGAAGCAGCTGCAGCAGTAGTAGTAGCAGCAGCAGCAGAAGCAGCTGCAGCAGTAGCAGCAGCAGCAGTAGCAGCAGCAGCTGCAGCAGCAGCAGCTGCTGCAGCTGCTGCTGCTGCAGCTGCAGTAGTAGTAGCAGCAGCAGCTGCAGCAGCTGCAGCAGTAGTAGTAGCAGTAGCAGCAGCAGCAGCTGCAGCAGCAGTAGTAGTAGCAGTAGTAGTAGCAGTAGCAGCAGCAGCAGCTGCAGCAGCAGCAGCAGTAGTAGCAGTAGCAGCAGCTGCAGCAGCAGTAGTAGCAGTAGCAGCTGCAGCAGCTGCAGCAGCAGTAGTAGCAGCAGCTGCAGCAGCAGTAGTAGCAGTAGCAGCAGCAGCTGCAGCAGTAGTAGTAGCAGTAGCAGCAGCAGCAGCTGCAGCAGCAGTAGTAGCAGTAGCAGCAGCTGCAGCAGCAGCAGTAGTAGTAGCAGTAGCAGCAGCAGCTGCAGCAGCAACAGCAGCAGTAGCAGCAGCAGCTGCAGCTGCAGCAGCTGCAGTAGCAGCAGCAGTAGTAGTAGTAGTAGCAGCAGCAGTAGTAGTAGCAGCAGCAGTAGTAGTAGCAGCAGCAGCAGCAGCAGGAGTAGTAGCAGCAGTAGTAGTAGCAGTAGCAGCAGCAGCAGCTGCAGCAGCAGTAGTAGTAGCAGCAGCAACAGCAGCAGTAGTAGTAGCAGCAGCAACAGCAGCAGTAGTAGTAGCAGCAGTAGTAGTAGCAGTAGCAGCAGCAGCAGCTGCAGCAGCAGCAGTAGTAGTAGCAGCAGCAGCTTCTCGGGCGCAGACCGGTAAAAGCTGTACACGCCTCAAATGGTCCATCTCCACCGTCGACGAGCAATAACTCCGAATGTGGCGCATTTCGTGACTGCAGGAATTGCTCCATGGTTAAATTTTGATTTAAAGCTTTCGTGACTGCAGTAATTCATATTGTTAGTTCTTTCGGTAAAAGTCACGTGACTTTACCGAAAGAACTAAGAATATGCACCATGGTTGTTTTTTTAACCCGGTAAAGTCGCGCGGAAATAACAGATAGTAAAAGTACATAATTGCGTACGACGCGTGTATATATATACGGACACCCACGTAGAGGGAATTAACGCAGATACACCTCTACCTGGGTGTCTGTGTGTGTGTGTATAAATCTGTCTGCGGTTTTGTGCGTTCCCTCTCTCTCGTAAATTTAGCTCTTCTGCACCTGATGATGACGAGTGCTTTGTGCTGCAGCCGAAACGTCGTACGCTACTGTGCAAATTTTTAATCATTGTTCATTTATTTTTTCCCACGCGACTTTACCGTAACAAAAAAAAAGCCTAGTACTCGCTCTGTAAGCTGCCGCGCGGGAAAATATATCTACTGAAATTCAATCTTCGTTTCTCACCCGCAATTATTATTTTTGGATATACGGGGGGGGGGGAGGGGGGGGGGCCGAGGATATGGAGGAGTTGACGAACTTCATCGTCTTCTTTGGTTCTTTCGGTACAGTCACCACCAAGTAGAATGATAATAAAATAATAAATTGATAAAATAAAATAACAGTGAAATTCTCACGACGTTTCGGCCACAACACAAGCGGCCTTCATCAGGTGAAGGGACGAGACTGTCTGGTAGGACAGCGCTGGAGTGGAAGAAGCCACGCTTAGATCACGACCTTTAAGCTGTGTGAGAGGAAACAAAGCGCCTTGACAAAGGAATTAGCATAGAATTTAGCATTGAAATGGCTGAGTGATTAGCTTGTGACTGGTCACAGAAATAGCTATGTTAAAAGTTAAAGCATACACATCCGCAGAGGCACCCCTTGATAAAATTAATTAGCATAGAATTTAGCATTGAAATGGCTGAGTGATTAGCTTGTGACTTTACCGAAAGAACCAAAGAAGATGAATCATTGCAGTCACGAAAGCTTTAAATCGAAATTGAACTTCATCATGAGCAAACGCCAAACTGGCCATCTGCAGGGCCAGGAAAACACGCATTTGACGGCATCCTCAAGGCCCCCCCTGGGTTTCCGCCAGAACTTGGCCGGAATTTTGCGTCTTTTTCCGACGCATTGCGGGGGGGGGGGGGCTACCGAGGGTTGCTTTGTGTGACGAGGCGAAAGTGGGGGGTTGGAGGTCTGGTGATGGTTTTTTTTTCACGGCTGAATTCGTTTTTCGTGGTCCTTTCGGTAAAGCCACCAAGCAGAATGGAAACAAGGCAATACAAATGAAACGCAAAAAGAAATAGAGATTTTATAAATATTTTATTTTATTGTGTTTAATGAAATACATATTTTATTTGATTGTGTTTTATTCTACGTGGTGGTGACTTTACCGAAAGAACCAAGAATAATAATTTTATTGTTTTATATTTTTATTATTTTATTGCTTCCCTTCTACGTGGTGGTGACTTTACCCAAAGAACCACGAAGCTGAATCCCTGCATTCACGAAAGCTTTCAATCGAAATTGAATTATTTTTGCTGCCGTTTATGAACACAGCAGCACACAATGGGATTTATGTAACACGGTTAAAACCGTGTTACATCTTTTATTTTTTATTTTATTTTAAAAAGGGGGGCACATGAGCAAACAAAAAAGACGAAAAAAAAGACGACATGATGAACCACCAGGTGAGTGACGTCACTACAGTGAGCCACCAGGTGAGTGACGTCACTACAGTGAGCCACCAGGTGAGTGACGTCACTGTGATGAACCACCAGGTGAGTGACGTCACTACAGTGAGCCACCAGGTGAGTGACGTCACTGTGATGAACCACCAGGTGAGTGACGTCACTACAGTGAGCCACCAGGTGAGTGACGTCACTGTGATGAACCACCAGGTGAGTGACGTCACTACAGTGAGCCACCAGGTGAGTGACGTCACTGTGATGAACCACCAGGTGAGTGACGTCACTACAGTGAGCCACCAGGTGAGTGACGTCACTGTGATGAACCACCAGGTGAGTGACGTCACTACAGTGAGCCACCAGGTGAGTGACGTCACTGTGATGAACCACCAGGTGAGTGACGTCACTACAGTGAGCCACCAGGTGAGTGACGTCACTGTGATGAACCACCAGGTGAGTGACGTCACTACAGTGAGCCACCAGGTGAGTGACGTCACTACAGTGCCACCAGGTGAGTGACGTCACTGCAGTGAGCCACCAGGTGAGTGACGTCACTACAGTGAGCCACCAGGTGAGTGACGTCACTGCAGTGAACCACCAGGTGAGTGACGTCACTACAGTGAACCACCAGGTGAGTGACGTCACTGTGATGAACCACCAGGTGAGTGACGTCACTGCAGTGAGCCACCAGGTGAGTGACGTCACTACAGTGAACCACCAGGTGAGTGACGTCACTGTGATGAACCACCAGGTGAGTGACGTCACTGTGATGAACCACCAGGTGAGTGACGTCACTACAGTGAACCACCAGGTGAGTGACGTCACTGCAGTGAGCCACCAAGTGAGTGACGTCACTGCAGTGAGCCACCAGGTGAGTGACGTCACTGCAGTGAACCACCAGGTGAGTGACGTCACTGTGATGAACCACCAGGTGAGTGACGTCACTGTGATGAACCACCAGGTGAGTGACGTCACTGTGATGAACCACCAGGTGAGTGACGTCACTACAGTGACCCACCAGGTGAGTGACGTCACTGTGATGAACCACCAGGTGAGTGACGTCACTACAGTGAGCCACCAGGTGAGTGACGTCACTGCAGTGAGCCACCAGGTGAGTGACGTCACTGCAGTGAACCACCAGGTGAGTGACGTCACTGTGATGAACCACCAGGTGAGTTACGTCACTGTGATGAACCACCAGGTGAGTGACGTCACTGTGATGAACCACCAGGTGAGTGACGTCACTACAGTGACCCACCAGGTGAGTGACGTCACTGTGATGAACCACCAGGTGAGTGACGTCACTACAGTGAACCACCAGGTGAGTGACGTCACTGCAGTGAGCCACCAGGTGAGTGACGTCACTGTGATGAACCACCAGGTGAGTGACGTCACTGTGATGAACCACCAGGTGAGTGACGTCACTGCAGTGAACCACCAGGTGAGTGACGTCACTGCAGTGAACCCTTCAGCAGCGTCAGCTCCTCCACCCCCCACAGGGGCCCTGGGGGAGGGGCACAGGGGCTGAGACCCCCACAGGGCCACCCACTGGGACTAGGGGCAGGGGGGGAGGGGAGGGGGGGTGAAGGAAGCCATTATGGTGATCAAGGTCGTGCTGATCGTCTTATCGTAGTCCCCCGTGTCTCACCCCTCTCCCCTCTCTCCCCTCTCCCCCCGTGTCTCCCCCGTGTCTCCCCCGTGTCTCCCCCGTGTCTCCCCCCGTGTCTCACCTCTCCCCCCGTGTCTCCCCCCGTGTCTCCCCCCGTGTCTCCCCCCGTGTCTCCCCCCGTGTCTCCCCCGTGTCTCACCTCTCCACCCGTGTCTCCCCCCGTGTCTCCCCCGTGTCTCCCCCCGTGTCTCCCCCGTGTCTCCCCCCGTGTCTCCCCCGTGTCTCACCTCTCTCCCCTCTCTCCCCGTGTCTCCCTGTGTCTTCCCTATCTCCCCGTGTCTCACCTCTCCACCCGTGTCTCCCCCGTGTCTCCCCCCGTGTCTCCCCCCGTGTCTCCCCCCGTGTCTCACCTCTCCCACCGTGTCTCCCCCCGTGTCTCCACCCCGTGTCTCCCCCCGTGTCTCCCCCGTGTCTCACCTCTCCCCCCGTGTCTCCCCCCGTGTCTCCCCCGTGTCTCCCCCCGTGTCTCCCCTCGTGTCTCCCCCCGTGTCTCCCTCCGTGTCTCACCTCTCCCTCCGTGTCTCACCTCTCCCCCCGTGTCTCCCCCCGTGTCTCCCCCCGTGTCTCCCCCCGTGTCTCCCCCCGTGTCTCACCTCTCCCCCCGTGTCTCCCCCCGTGTCTCACCTCTCCCCCCGTGTCTCCCCTCTCCCCCCGTGTCTCCCCCCGTGTCTCCCCCCGTGTCTCCCCCCGTGTCTCCCCCGTGTCTCCCCCCGTGTCTCCCCTCGTGTCTCCCCCCGTGTCTCCCCCCGTGTCTCCCCCCGTGTCTCCCCCCGTGTCTCCCCCCGTGTCTCCCCCCGTGTCTCCCCCCGTGTCTCCCCCAGTGTCTCCCCCCTCACCTCTCCCCCCGTGTCTCCCCCGTGTCTCCCCCCGTGTCTCACCTCTCCCCCCGTGTCTCCCCCGTGTCTCCCCCCGTGTCGCACCTCTCCCCCCGTGTCTCCCCCGTGTCTCCCCCAGTGTCTCCCCCCGTGTCTCACCTCTCCCCCCGTGTCTCCCCTCTCCCCCGTGTCTCCCCCCGTGTCTCCCCCCGTGTCTCCCCCAGTGTCTCCCCTCTCCCCCGTGTCTCCCCCGTGTCTCCCCCAGTGTCTCACCTCTCCCCCCGTGTCTCCCCCGTGTCCCCGTCCGCCATCTCCAGCAGGGTGAACTCCGTGAGCACCATCGCCTCGGGGTCACGTGACTGGCCCGGCACGCTACCCAGGGGGCACTGGGGCCAGGCGAGGAACTCTGAGTGACAAAACAGAGACACGAAGATGGGTGGCTGAGTGGGTGGGTGGGTGAGTGAGTGGGTGGCTGAGTGAGTGGGTGGGTGAGTGGGTGGGTGGGTGAGATGGTGGGTGGGTGAGTGGCTGAGTGGGTGGGTGGGTGAGTGGGTGAGAGGGTGGGTGGGTGGGTGAGTGGGTGAGAGGGTGGGTGGGTGGGTGAGTGGCCGAGTTGGTGGGTGGGTGAGTGGGTGGGTGAGTGGGTGAGTGAGAGGGTGGGTGGGTGGGTGAGTGGGTGGGTGAGTGGGTGGGTGGGTGGGTGAGTGGCTGAGTTGGTGGGTGGGTGAGTGGGTGGGTGAGAGGGTGGGTGGGTGAGTGGGTGGGTGAGAGGGTGGGTGGGTGGGTGGGTGAGAGGGTGGGTGGTTGGGTGAAAGGGTGGGTGGGTGGGAGGGTGGGTGGGTGGGTGGGTGAGTGAGTGGGTGAGTGGGTGGGTGAGAGGGTGGGTGAGTGGCTGAGTGGGTGAGAGGGTGGGTGAGTGAGTGGGTGAGTGGGTGGGTGAGAGGGTGGGTGGGTGGGTGAGTGGGAGGTGAGTGGGTGGGTGAGCGAGTGGGTGAATGAGTGGGTGAGCGAGTGGGATAGTGAGTGGTTGAGCGAGTGGGTGAGTGAGTGGTTGAGCGAGTGGACGAGTGAGTGGGTGAGCGAGTGGGCGAGTGAGTGGTTGAGCGAGTGGGCGAGTGAGTGAGTGGCTGAGTGAGTGGGTGAGTGAGTGGGCGAGTGAGTGAGTGGGTGAGTGAGTGGGCGAGTGGTGAGTGAGTGAGTGGTGAGTGAGTGGTTGAGTGAGTGAGTGGTTGAGCAAGTGTGTGAGTGGTGAGTGGTTGAGTGAGTGGTTGAGCAAGTGGGCGAGTGAGTGAGTGAGTGGCTGAGTGAGTGAGTGGGTGAGTGGGTGGTGAGTGGTGAGTGAGTGGTTGAGTGAGTGAGTGGTTGAATGAGTGGGATGGGCACACACTTGCCACGCCCGTCATGAACCCCGCTCACCGCTGCAGAGCTTCCAGCTGGACCCCTGCAGCTGCCGCTGGATGTATCCTGTCATGGCCGCCTCCCACACGAGCCCCCCCTCGTCGCCCAGCCGAGTCGCCCCGACGCTCCCAGCATGCAAAGGGGCGGGCAGGTCGCCCACCGTCAGGATTCCCCCACGATGCACCGCTTCTGCGACTGCCACCCCCCCCTCCTCCGTTCCCCCACAATGCACCGCTCCTCCCGGCAGTGCCGCCGCCCCCTCCTCCATTCCCCCACAATGCACCGCTCCTCCTGACAGTGCCGCCCCCTCATCCTCCATTCCCCCACAATGCACCGCTCCTCCCGACAGTGCCGCCGCCCCCTCCTCCGTTCCCCCACAATGCACCGCTCCTCCCGACAGTGCCGCCCACTCCGCCTCCAGCGAGGCCGCGACCTCCGACCCCTGACCCCCGTAGAGGGAGATGAGGGTCAGCAGTCGACCCTGCAGACTCGGGGGAGGCGGCAGTGGCATGGAGGAGAAGATTCTGTGGGGGGGGGGAGGGGGGGAGGGGAGGGAGGGGGGGAGGGAGGGGAGGGAGGGGGAGGGGAGGGAGCGAGGGGGGGGAAGTATTTTTTGATGATTTGGAACCGTACGTAGCCAACTGCGAGAAGGATAATAAACTACTCAGCCACTCACTCAGCCACCCACTCACCCACTCACTCACTCAGCCACTCACTCACTCAGCCACCCACTCACCCACTCACTCACTCAGCCACTCACTCACTCAGCCACTCACTCACTCAGCCACCCACTCACTCACTCAGCCACCCACCCACTCACTCACTCAGCCACTCACTCACTCAGCCACTCACTCACTCACTCACCCACTCACTCACTCAGCCACCCACTCACCCACTCACTCACTCAGCCACTCACCCACCCACTCACCCACTCACTCACTCACTCAGCCACTCACTCAGCCACTCACCCACTCACTCACTCACTCAGCCACTCACCCACTCACTCAGCCACTCACTCACTCACTCAGCCACTCACTCAGCCACCCACTCACCCACTCACTCCCTCAGCCACTCACTCACTCACTCAGCCACTCACTCAGCCTCTCACTCAGCCACCCACTCACCCACTCACTCACTCAGCCACTCACCCACTCACTCACTCAGCCACTCACCCACTCACTCACTCAGCCACTCACTCACTCACTCAGCCACTCACCCACTCACTCAGCCACTCACCCACCCACTCAGCCACTCACTCACTCACTCAGCCACTCACTCAGCCACCCACTCACCCACTCACTCCCTCAGCCACTCACTCACTCACTCAGCCACTCACTCAGCCACCCACTCACCCACTCACTCACTCAGCCACTCACCCACTCACTCACTCAGCCACTCACCCACTCACTCACTCAGCCACTCACTCACTCACTCAGCCACTCACCCACTCACTCAGCCACTCACCCACCCACTCAGCCACTCACTCACTCACTCAGCCACTCACTCAGCCACTCACTCACTTACTCAGCCACTCACTCAGCCACCCACTCACCCACTCACTCACTCAGCCACTCACTCACTCACTCAGCCACTCACCCACCCACTCACTCACTCACCCACTCACTCACTCAGCCACTCACTCAGCCACTCACCCACCCACCCACTCACGCTGAGAGCAGCACCCGAGTGATTGGGCTGGGCCTGGCCACGCAGGCTTGAACCAGGCGGTTCCACTCCAGGTCCTGGGTGAATGGGAACTGCAGGCCGGGTGGCTCGGCTCCCAGGTTCTGTCGCGTCACTGGAACACGGAACACAGACAAAGGTCCCCCGTGTAGCCTCTATCAGACTGTCAGGGGTAAGTGCTGTTAGTAGTAGCGAGTAGCTACACACAACAACAACAACAACCGCCATTCGCCACTAAGTGGCGGTGACGTCACCACGACGCTTGTGCCAGGCCATGTGCACCCTGAGGCCACGTGAAGTGTCGAACGCCCGCTGGCAGGTCACGGGGCAGACCCAGCAGGTGCCACGGGTCGACTGACTGAGATGACTGAGATGACTGGCTGATGCACCACCTGTGCCCCCTACTGTGCCAACCTACTGTGCTTTAGCCACCCGGCGCTCCGCTCGTTGTTGTGAGCGTCGCTCCTCCACCCTCCGTTGTTGTTGGAGGGCGACTGCCTACAACTGCCCAGCAGCAGCATCCTTCACGAGCCTCCTCCACAGAGGCCGATCTTGACACCGCTGGTACCGGTCATCGGCAAGTCCACTCAGCTCCACGTCCTCCTGTACCACGTCACTCCATCTCTTCTCTAGCCCGTGCCGCGCCCGTTTAGCCCCCTCGATCCGGCCGAACAAAAGCTGCTTAGGCATGCAGTGGCTGGGCATGCGGGCTACATGACCCAGCCAACGCAGCCTTGCCTGGCGAAGGAGCTCACTGATGGGACTTTGTTCAGATCTTTGAAGGATATGTGAGTTCCTCACACAATTCAGCCTGATTAAACCCAAGTAGGCAGGCCAGCCTAAATGTTTCTAACTGGCGAAGATGTTCTATTCGGGGGGTCCACGTTTCGCAAGCGTAGAGAAGGGAGGGAATGACCGTGGCCGAGAAGACCTGAAGCTTCGTGTGGAGCGATAGACCAGGTAGCTTCGACACAGCGTTACGCATCCGATGAAGACATTGCCGCTCGACTGATTCGGAGTGAGACCTCTGCTGTTAAACAAGAGCCGGTCATGAGCACACTGCCCAGGTATGGGAAACTCTCCACTCTCTCCACAACTGCCCTATCACCAATTGGGAGTTGTGTGGGTGGCTTGTATGATGGTACAAAATACCCAGGCAAGTGTTTAGTTTTGGTGGGGCTGATGGTAAGGCCCCACCTCTTAGTGGCAAGCTCCAGGTTCAGCAGCAGCATCTCCAACTCCTCCTCTAAATTAGCAGCTATTACCAGATCATCGACATACATAATGTGGTTGAGCAATAGGGAGCAATCCCTTGACCGCACCCGGGCATCAATCAGCCTCCCATTGTATCTGTACCAGATGGAAATTCCCCCGGGTATTGAAGGCTTTACGAACTACATGGTCGAAATAGATGTTAAATAATGTGGGAGCCAGAGGACATCCCTGTCGCACCCCAAGGTGTACAGGGAATGGCTCTGACTCCCGGCCACGAAGTTTTGCCCGGGCCTGCTCACCATCATGAAGGTACTTACTGATCGTGAGCAGGGGGTCAGGGACTCCGAAAGCACGAAGAACAACCCAGAGCCCAGGCCTACTGATGGTATCATAAGCCTTGACGAGGTCAATAAAGCATAGATGTAGGTCTTGTTGGAATTCGCCAGAATTCCAACAAGACGGACAGGAAAAAATGGCATTTGTGCAGGACCGCCCTTTCCTGAAACCGCATTGGGGCTCCGCAAGCCTCTCCAGTCTATGCGGTCCCCCTTCTTAAAAAGGGGAACCACCAGGGCATCCTTACAATCCTGCGGAACCCGTCCAGTCGTCCAGACTGTTGTTATGATGTCACGTAGGGCAGTCTGTGCACAAACGCCACCCTCCCTCAGCATTTCACTTGGGAGATCATCTCTGCCCGGTGCCTTTCCTGGTCTCAGACTCCGGATCGCCTTCAGTACTTCCTCAACAGATGGCACCTCAGCCAGCCACTCACAGGGGGTGACTTCTTCCAATATTTTAGACACCGCAGCCTCAGCAGGGTCATCCTCACTTTGTGCCACGATGTTTTCCTGGCTGAGGGATTTTCCCTCCCCCAGGACCTCACAGAAATGCTCAGCAAATCTGCAAACCTGTTCCTGGGGGTGGGAGATTGGATCACTGTTTTTTCCCCTAATGATGGAAATAGGTGTGGCGCTATAGGTTACTTTTTTGATGGAGTTAAATAGAGATTTGTGATCACGGGCCACTGAGGCAGACTCCATCTGCTCAGCAACCCCATCACACCCACCACCACCCCCACCCCCACCACCACCACCACCCTCACACCCACCACCACCACCCCCACCATCACCCCCACCACCGCCACCACCGCCACCACCACCACCACCCTCACCACCCCCACCACCACCACCCCCACCACCACCACCACCACTCCCACCACCCCCACCACCACCACCCCCAACACCCTCACCACCACCACCACCACCCTCACCACCACCACCACCACCAACACCCCCAACACCCTCACCACCACCTCCATCACCCCCACCACCATCACCACCACCACCACCCCCACCACCACCACCCCCACCACCCTCACCACCATTACCACCCTCACCCTCACCACCACCACCACCACTCCCAACACCCCCCAGTGTCTACTCACCTGGGTGCCCATTAGCGGCGATGATGCAAAGTGCCCAGCGAGCGACGTCCCCCGGCTCCGGCTCACCACCACCACCACCACCACCGCCACCACCACCACCACCGCCACCACCACCACCACCACCCCCCCACCGTGAGAGGGTGGGAGGCAGCAGGCTGAGCAGGGCGTGGAGGAGGACTCCCAGCAGGTGCTGGCGATGGAGACGACGGAGCAGCGGTGACCACAGCAGCAGCTGGGCACAGAGAGCGGGGGGGGAGGGGTGGGGGCACGGGGGGGGGGCTGGGGGGGGTGGGTGGGGGGGTGGGTGAGTGGGTGAGTGAGTGAGTGAGTGGGTGAGTGAGTGGGTGAGTGAGCGGGTGAGTGAGTGGGTGAGTGAGCGGGTGAGTGAGTGGGTGAGTGGGTGAGTGAGTGAGCGAGTAAGTGGGTCGGTGAGTAAGTGGGTGGGTGAGTGAGTGAGCGAGTGAGTGAGTGGGTGAGTGAGTGAGCGAGTGAGTGAGTGGTGAGTGAGTGAGTGGATGAGTGGGTGGGTGAGTGAGTGAGTGAGTGAGCGAGCGAGTGAGTGGGTGAGTGAGTGAGTGAGTGAGCGAGTGAGTGGTGAGTGAGTGGGTGGGTGGGTGGGTGAGTGAGTGGGTGGGTGAGTGAGTGAGTGCGTGAGTGAGTGGGTGAGTGAGTGAGTGGTGAGTGAGTGAGTTAGTGGTGAGTGAGTGCTGAGTGAGTGAGTGGAGAGTGAGTGGGTGAGTGGGTGAGTGAGTGAGTGGTGAGTGAGTGGGTGAGTGAGTGAGTGGGTGAGCGGGTGAGTGAGTAGGTGAGTGAGTGAGTGAGTGGGTGGGTGAGTGAGTGGGTGAGTGAGTGAGTGGGCGAGTGGGTGAGTGAGTGAGTGGGTGGGTGAGTGAGTGAGTAAGTGGGGGGTGAGTGAGTGAGTAAGTGGGGGGTGAGTGAGTGAGCGAGTGAGTGAGTGGTGAGTGAGTGAGTGGATGAGTGGGTGAGTGGGTGGGTGGGTGAGTGAGTGAGTGAGTGGGTGGGTGGGTGGGTGAGTGAGTGAGTGAGTGGGTGGGTGGGTGGGTGAGTGAGTGAGTGAGTGGTGAGTGAGTGAGTGGTGAGTGAGTGCTGAGTGAGTGAGTGGAGAGTGAGTGGGTGAGTGGGTGAGTGAGTGAGTGAGTGGTGAGTGAGTGGGTGAGTGAGTGAGTGGGTGAGTGAGTGGGTGAGTGAGTGAGTGAGTGGGTGAGTGAGTGAGTGAGCGAGTGAGTGGTGAGTGAGTGGGTGGGTGGGTGGGTGAGTGGGTGGGTGGGTGGGTGAGTGAGTGGGTGGGTGGGTGAGTGAGTGAGTGCATGAGTGAGTGGGTGAGTGAGTGAGTGGTGAGTGAGTGAGTTAGTGGTGAGTGAGTGCTGAGTGAGTGAGTGGAGAGTGAGTGGGTGAGTGGGTGAGTGAGTGAGTGGTGAGTGAGTGGGTGAGTGAGTGAGTGGGTGAGCGGGTGAGTGAGTAGGTGAGTGAGTGAGTGAGTGGGTGAGTGAGTGAGTGGGCGAGTGGGTGAGTGAGTGAGTGGGTGGGTGAGTGAGTGAGTAAGTGGGGGTGAGTGAGTGAGCGAGTGAGTGAGTGGTGAGTGAGTGAGTGGATGAGTGGGTGAGTGGGTGGGTGGGTGGGTGAGTGAGTGAGTGAGTGGGTGGGTGAGTGAGTGAGTGAGTGGGTGGGTGGGTGGGTGAGTGAGTGAGTGAGTGGGTGGGTGGGTGAGTGAGTGAGTGGTGAGTGAGTGAGTGAGTGGTGAGTGAGTGAGTGGTGAGTGAGTGCTGAGTGAGTGAGTGGAGAGTGAGTGGGTGAGTGGGTGAGTGAGTGAGTGAGTGGTGAGTGAGTGGGTGAGTGAGTGAGTGGGTGAGTGAGTGGGTGAGTGAGTGAATGAGTGAGCGGGTGAGTGAGTGAGTGAGTGGATGGGTGGGTGAGTGAGTGAGTGGGTGGGTGAGTGAGTGAGTGAGTGGTGAGTGAGTGAGTGAGTGGTGAGTGAGTGCTGAGTGAGTGGAGAATGAGTGGGTGAGTGGGTGAGTGAGTGAGTGGTGAGTGAGTGGTGAGTGAGTGATGAGTGAGTGGGTGAGTGGTGAGTGAGTGGTGAGTGAGTGGTGAGTGGGTGGGTGAGCGAGTGGGTGAGTGAGTAGTGAGTGAGTGAGTGAGTGGGTGAGTGAGTGAGTGAGTGGGTGAGTGAGTGAGTGGGTGAGTGAGTGAGTGGGTGAGTGAGTGGGTGAGTGAGTGGTGGGGGAGTGAGTGGTGGATGAGTGAGTGAGTGGTGAGTGAGTGATGAGTGAGTGGTGAGTGAGTGAGTGAGTGGTGAGTGGTGAGAGAGTGAGTGGGTGAGTGGTGAGTGAGTGGGTGGGTGAATGGGTGGGTGAGTGGTGAGTGAGTGAGTGGTGAGTGAGTGGTGAGTGAGTGGTGAGTGAGTGAGTGGTGAGAGAGTGAGTGGTGAGTGGTGAGTGAGGGGGTGGGTGAGTGAATGAGTGGGTGAGTGATTGAGTGAGTGGTGAGTGAGTGAGTGGGTGAGTAATTGAGTGAGTGGTGAGTGGTGAGTGAGTGGTGAGTGAGTGAGTGAGTGGTGAGTGAGTGGTGAGCGGTGAGTAGTGAGTGAATTACCGGTCTGAACGTCCTGCAAGGCCTTCAGCTGTTCTTCAGTCAAAAACAGAAAGCCAGGCTCGATCAACTGCTGGATTAAAGACTCCCTGGAAAACACAAAGAGAAGGGATTTCATGCACACGTGTGTGTGTGTCTGTGAGTGTCTGTGTGTCTGTCTGTCGGTGTTTGCGTGTCTGTGTCTGTGTGTGTCTGTGTGTGTGTATCTGTATGTATGTGTGTGTGTCTGTATGTGTCTGTCTGTGTGTCTGTCTGTGTGTGTGTCTGTGTGTGTCTGTGTGTGTCTGTGTGTGTGTCTGTGTGTGTCTGTGTGTGTGTCTGTATGTGTGTGTGTCTGTGTGTGTCTGTGTGTGTCTGTGTGTGTGTCTCTGTGTGTGTCTGTGTGTGTGTCTGTGTGTCTGGCACAGTAGGGGGCACAGGTGGTGCACCAGCCAGTCATCTCAGTCAGTCGACCCGTGGCACCTGCTGGGTCTGCCCCGTGACCTCCTGCCAGCGGGCGTTCGACACTTCACGTGGCCTCAGGGTGCACATAGCCTGGCACAAGCGTCGTGGTGACGTCACCGCCACTTAGTGGCGAATGGCGGTTGTTGTTGTTGTGTGTGTCTGTGTGTGTCTGCGTGTGTCTGTGTGTGTGTCTGTGTGCGTGTCTGTGTGTGTCTGTGTGCGTGTCTGTGTGTGCATGTCTGTGCGTCTGCGTGTCTGCGTGTTTACGTACCTCCCCGTGTCGTCCAGGGAGTCGATGTTTGCCAGAATCTCGTTGATGGACCTCCTCAGTGCGCGGCCGCCTCCAGCCGTGAGCAGCTACAAAGCCCCAGAGAGACAGAGACACATTGATGCCTAGACACGTACATAGGCAAAGATAAAGACAAAGATCCCCCGTATAGCCTTAACAGACTGTAGGGGCAAGTGCTGTTAGCGAGCACCTATGAAGGCCAGAACGGTACACGAGGGGGTGGGTGGCCAGCACCACGCCCGACCGCCTTTGTCTCCCCAGTGGCAATGTTTTTATCCACCGCACTAGGTACTCATTTGAGGCTGAGTCGACCTAGGGGAGGCCCAGGACCGGTTCAGATAATCGTCACTGATGTTGGGCGTGAGCGGGAATCGAACCCGGGTCGCCAGGTTCATAGCGCAGCGCGCTAACCGCTACACTATCGCTCCCCCAATAGGCAAAGATAAAGATGGACCTCCTCATAGGCAGGCACACAGACACGGACATCGACACCAATACGTCACCACGGAGCCTGTGCCAGGCTGGGTGCGCCAGCAGGTCACGGGACAGACCCAGCAGGTGTCATGGGTCGACTGACAGAGATGACCACGGGTAGATGCACCACCAGCTGTACCCCCTACTGAGAATGGCGTCCGTGCAACGACCGCCCTTTCCTGAAACCGCATTGGGGCTCCGCAAGCCTCTCCTCAGCGTGCACGGTGAGGCGATGTTGAATAATCATTGCCAGGACCTTTCCTGGGACACACTGGGGAGTGAGATGCCCCTATAGTTGTTACAGTCTGTGCGGTCCCCCTTCTTAAAGAGAGGGACCACCAGGGCATCCTTCCAATCCTGCGGAACCCGTCCAGTGGTCCAGACTGTTGTTATGATGTCATGTAGGGCAGTCTGTGCACAAACGCCACCCTCGCCCAGCATTTCGCTTGGGAGATCATCTCTGCCCGGTGCCTTTTCCTGGTCTCAGACTCCGGATCGCCTTCAGTACTTCCTCAACAGATGGCACCTCAGCCAGCCACTCACAGGGGGTGACTTCTTCCAATATTTGAGGCACCGCAGCCTCAGCAGGGTCATCTTCACTTTGTGCCACGATGTTTTCCTGGCTGAGGGATTTCCCCTCCCCCAGGACCTCACAGAAATGCTCAGCAAATCTGCAAACCTGTTCCTGGGGGTCGGAGATTGGATCACCGTTTTTTCCCCAATGGTGGTAATAGGTGTGGCACTGCACACACTCACTCACTCACTCACCCACTCACTCACCCACACACTCACCCACTCACTCACCCACATACTCACCCACACACACACCCACACACGCACTCACCCACGCACTCACCCACACACTCACCGACACACTCACCCACACACACACCCACACACACACCCACACACACACCCACACACACACCCACCCACACACTCACCCACTCACTCACCCACTCACTCACCTACACACTCACCCACACACTAACCCACACACTCACCCACACACTCACACACACACTCACACACACACCCACACACTCACCCACACACTCACTCACCCACACACTCAATCACTCACCCACACACCCACACACTCACCCACACACACACCCACCCACACACACACCCACACACACACCCACCCACACACACACACACCCACACACTCACTCATACACTCACTCAGCCACTCACCCACACACTCACCCACTCACTCACCCACACACTGACACACACACCCACACACTCACCCACACACTCACTCACCCACACACAACAACAACCGCCATTCGCCACTAAGTGGCGGTGACGTCGCCACGACGCTTGTGCCAGGCTATGTGCACCGAGGCCACGTGAAGTGTCGAACGCCCGCTGGCAGGAGGTCACAGGGCAGACCCAGGTGCCACGGGTCGACTGACTGAGATGACTGGCTGATGCACCACCTGTGCCCC